ACACATATGTAACAATAAAAAGATACCATGAATTTAGGCGAACAAAACAACAGAAGTAAGGTTTTTGTCCTCAAAAGTGACAAGAAAAATGTAGGACAAGTGGGAAAACTCAGGTTTCAGGCCCACAGGTCTCATGGCCTGTGCGGTTCTCACAGTGCGGTTTCCTTCTGCATTTAAACCACAGCCCGGGATGCCCCAGAGCTCGGCTGCTCTGAAGCAAGGGCAGTATTCTTCAGTTCTCAACGTGAACACGTTAACAGAGGACAAGGATAGTTTCTGGATCCCTGCTGAAGTGACTTCGGCCTGGACAGGCACTGTCATGCTGTAACCAAGGAAGGCACCTTTGGCATATGATTTATGTTCTTAGCACACACGTGTTCAAGCATTGAAACCCCACTTTCAGCAGGACTTCATACAGATGTTTATCACTGCTCCTTAAGCTGCAAAGATAACAAAGATGAGGGGATTTTCTTTTTTTCTATTTTTAAAATAACAATTTCTTTATTAAATTGGGAGCATCTCATCATTCATCCCAATTCCACTCATTTTCCAGACCGCCCATATCCACCCTTCAACCTTACAGCGCCCCCCCAACAAAAAAAAAAAAAAGAAAATTAAAAAATTCAAAACAAAACGACAAACCCCCCTCTTCACTCCTCTGTCTTTCCCACCTCTCCAACACTCCTTCCTTCACCTTAGTGACAATGGGAGCCGCACAGGGTCACACAGTATGTACCCTTTTGTCCAGTCAGCTTTACAAATGTTCATTGCAATGAGTCATTGGTCTGGTTCAAGGCCTCTGGTTTCTGGTTCACCATCATCACTGGGTCCTCACTGAAACTCCTCTCATATATCCTGTGGCCACCCGAGTCATGGAGATCCTGCTGGTATCGGTCCACAGGAGCAGTCCCTTCACGGGCTCCAGCAGGTCATAGATGGAGTAGATGTTGGTGAGTGCCAGCACAAGACCCTGGATGTAGGCCAGGGTGGTAGCTTGAGTGGGTCAGACCAGACCACTGGGCCCCCACCCTCAGGTGAGGAGCAGAGCCAGCTCTTCCCCGTGCCTGTACCATCAGGACCAGTTTTCCCATGCATGGTAAGGGTTGGGCCAGGGCATGGGGCCATCTCTCCTGTGGGGGTCCAGGCCAACTCTCTTGCTGCAGTGTCCAGTGAAGGCCAGCAAAGGGTGGGCCGGCTCACCATGGCCCTCAGATTTCATCATATGAATCCTATAGCCCCCTGTGGTAACATGGGTCACAGCCATCAACACAGACCCCAGCTGCAGCAGGACCATGGACCCAGACATGGCCTTTGGCAGCAGCTTGAGCCCAGACATCACTATGGACCCTGTGGCAGCTTAGGTCACCCAGCTCAGTATGGCCCCAGCAGAAGCATGGCTCGTCTCAAGTGACTGTCCAAACCCCAGGCATCTGCTTGGCACTCACTAGTACCAGGAGCCATGGACATCCACTCGGACCCTGGCTGCTGTAGGATGATGGACCCAGAGATAGCCGTAGGTTGCAGCTCAGGCCTGGACATCACCATGGCCCCAGGTGGCATCACAGGCTACCCAGATCAGTGTGGCCTGAGCAGCAGCATGGCCCTTCGACACCAACATGGTCTCAGATGGCTAACCAGACCCCAGACATCCACGTGGCCCTCGGTGGCAACAGGAGCTATGGCCATCAACTCAAGCCCGGGCTGCTCTAGGGTTACAGGAAGGGAAGTATTAGTGCCTGCCTCTTGTGAATTTATTAAAGGATGACAGAATACAGGGCTTTGTTCATACAGAGTGCATTAGGAACACAGTAGCAACTTTGACAAACACAGAACCTACTAGAAATCACAAGTAATGTATGAGGTGGATTGTAAGAAACAAGTTAGGGGCTTAAAGGAGAACCCCAGGAGAAGAGTTAAAAATGTGAAGATGATGTACTGTGGAAAATCTGTGGTGCAGTAAGCACATCAGAGGAGAAAGACTCGTGAGCACTACTGTGGGTACAGCATTCAATATTCACTCCAAGTTAAAGCTATCAACAGACTAAGAATACAGGAAGCACTAGCAAGATGGCTCAGCCCGAACCTCAGTCCAGTGCCTGGGACCCAGCTAAAGGAAGTGGAGGACTGATTCGTGCAGGCTGTCTTAGGACGTCCACACGCACACTGTGGTGCACATAGACACACAAAGTAAAAATGTAAGGTTTTAAAAATACAGAAAGCTCCCTTAGCAAAACAAGGGATACTGTAGTAGATACGATGAGTGGCACACGGCATCTGCATCTCCTGGTACCTCAGTCTTCAGACTTTCTTGATCCCAAGCCACAATTAAAAACTGTTATGGGGCCTACAGGATGGCTCAGTGCATAAAGGCACTTGCAGTGCAAGCCTGGGGCCTTACTTTGGCCCCC